AGGCCAGGTTAGTGTGAGGGTAAATGGATGAGAGTCCTGTTTCTGTGAGATGCCAAAATGTGAAAATAAGCAAGTAGACTTGCATGGACTCCTTTGTTTCCTTTGAAGGGTTCAAATAAAATCTGAGTTCCCGCCCTCCCTCTCTCCCTTCTTCCCTCCCTTCTCTCCTTCCCCCTTCATCTCCCTCCATTCCTCTCTCCTTCCCTTTTTCTCTTTATCCATTCATCCCCCCTCTCTTCACACACACACACACACACACACACACACACACACACGCATATATAAGTATTCTCTCTCTGCTTCCATCAATTATATAGAAGGCCCCAAATCTGTATAAGAACTCTGAATAAAATCACAGTGAAGGAGATGAAAAGATTATGAACATAAATAGAGCTGCCACAGAGGGATCAGTAAAAATCTCTAGGAAAAGGAATTTTAATACAATAATAACCAGAGGCTTTTGACATTTTGAAAGTGGAATCAATAATGTGCCTCATCCACTCTGATTTGTCTTTGGAGCTTTCCTCTGAAACTAGAGCCAGGACTAGACGTTTCAGAGACTTTCCTGGGCTTGGTCACAAGTCACATTGATTTCTGCTTTCATTAAATTGTGTTTCATTCACATTCCTGTTCTTTCTCTCTGAAATAATTTTCAAACTTGCTGCTGTCATTTTAATAAGCAAATAACTAAAGGTTGTGAATTTGTAAATATTTTTCTCAAATAAAGAAAAAGTTTGGAATTTGCCAAAATCTTATGCTTCCATTTTTAAGATCACATGTGCTATTTGAAGGTAAATGTAAACAAGTTCAGTAAAATGTGTGCATGTGACAAGGGTCATGATCGTGGGCTTTGGTCAACTGTCTATTACTAGTTAGATGTTCTTGGCCAACACACAGTCTCTCTGCTCCTCAGTGTCCTTATTCGATTTTAGAAATTCGGTGAAGCAGAGCCTGTACAGAGCCTGGTGAAGAGTAGGTGTGCTGCCATGGTGGTAGTAACTTATTTCTTGCATGAAGTCTCATCTTTTCTGGGCATTTCTCCTATAATTTCATGTGAAAGATGTGGATACAAGAGGAGGTACTCTGTAAGTCCCTCACAGGAGTGACGGCTTCCATTCCAGCATACTCTGGTCTACGTTTGAAGCCCTGTCAAGTGGGACTATCAACAGACTGCTGCAAAGGTGACACGGTTCATTTTAACTGCAGCTGTGTTTATTCGGTACTTACCTTAGACATTATTTGAATCCCTTTCCAAGCATGAAAACATTCGGTTCTGGCCACAGCTCTATGACAAAGGCGGGTTCTTCATTTCACAGGTGAGGCTCCTTCGGCCTCTTGCCTAAAGTCACACAATAAGTCTACATAGGGCCAGGATTCAAGCCAGTGGTCTGCAGCTGTAACCACTGGGCCTTACTGTTGATGAGTTCACCAGCACTAATTCATCACCTTCTAGTCTAAATCAGAGATAATTGGTACTTGCTCATTCTTATTTATCTTTCTTGATCCTCTAGTAGTCCCTCGTAGACTGTTTGCTAGAAGCAATGACCCTACAAGGGCTTCAGGAGGCTTCTAGGAAGTGCCTGGGTGGGGCTAGAGAGATGGCTCCTCAGTTAAGAGCACTGGCTCCTCTTGCAGAGGACCAGCGTTCAGTTTCCAGCACCTACATGACAGCTGACAACCATCTTAACTCCAGTTCCAGGGGATCCGTTGCCCTCTTCTGACCTCTGTGGACATTGCATGCACAGGTCTACTTACATACATGCAAACAATACACTCATACACATAAAATAAAAAAATATATATAATAATGCCAGCTAGTTTTAAAAACCAGAGGGAACCATATTAGTCCAACAACCTACTGACAAATTATATATAACAGATCAAGAAATATATGTCTAGGTAAGGTTTATCTGAAAATAATCTTGGGTCTTTGCCCAAGATTTAGCTACATGACACACAGTAACTAAAAGAACCAGACTGGTGGAACTAACCTTCTTAGATGTTTAACAGACATACTTTGAGGCCTATAATAATTTGGTCACAGGGACATAAAGGACAGTGTTTGCTCCTTGCCCTCCTAGGTCAACTAGTTCCAGAGGACTATGAGCATCTCCCAAAATGTCCTGTAACTGTGGTGGGTCACCTGTTCTCTTGATCAAGGAGGCCAAGGAGAAGCCACAAGATGGACTTGAAGCAGTGTCCAGTCTACAAAGAAGAAGGTCAACACAGAGGAAACATGTCCTCCATGCTTCCAAGCGAAGCCACTTTTGAAGGAGCTGTGTCTTTGCTCTGGAAACTGTTATTGGGCATGTTAAAGCTGTAATGATATGCTTCTTCTAAAAACATTAAAAATAATATTTAAAAAATGTAGGAAACAGCATATCATGAAATGGAGATCTTCTTTAAAGGGTAAAAACTCATTCAATTTTATATCTTACAGGGTTTATACTGAGTTCAATATTGTATGAATGTATTAATTCAACTGTGAACCTAAAAATTTACAGCCACTTTTGAAAGAGGTGTATCCTTGCTCTAGAGTGTGTTACTGAATATGTTAAAGCTGTAATGAAATGCTTCTTCTAATTATGTGGTTATTGAATAAATAATTTAAAATAAATAAAGATTAAAAAAATACAGAAGAAAGTACCTGGCACTAAACTCCTGCTTCCCACTTAACTGGCCTCTGAAGTCACACAGATGTAGGTTCAATCTGTAACCAACATTAAGTCTTTCATTTTGGCACAGCTTCTTAACCTCTTCAAGCCTCAACTTCCCCCTGCAATGGAGACACTGCAATTGGAAACCTTATTACTGGCATCTGACTCACTAATGGGAGACTCAGTGATGCTGTAGATAGGTGGATTAATTACTCTCCTTATTTTTGTTACCAAATAACCAACAAAAGCAACTTAAGGAAAGAAAGGTTTACTGTGACTTATGGTTTGAGGGCACAGGCCATCAGGCAGGGAGGACATGGGGTCAGGAGTTATGAGGAAGGAGCCACATTGTGTCTGCAGTCAAGATGCAGAGAGATGAGCATGGCTTTCAATTCTCTCCTTTTTTCCTTTTCAATCTAGGCTAGGATGGTGCTGCCCACATTCAGGATATGTCTTCTCTCCTGAGTTAAACCTCTCTGGAAATGTCCTCATAGACATGCCCAGAGGTGTATTTACTAGAGTGCTCTAAATGCAGTCAAGTTGACAACAATCCTTAACCATCACGAAAGGATGAGCAGGAGTCTTATTCTTTGAGACAAACTTCAAACAGACCCACTGAGCTAACAACCAAACAGCTGCTTCAACTCTCCCTTGTTCTGGGTCTCAGAATGAGATTCCTTCCCTGGTAACTCTGTTATGATTTCCAGTCTAAGGCATCCTGGGTTCCCAGAAGCTGCTCATCAACGTGGCCAAGTTAGCAGTCTGTGGTCAAGGCCAGTTTAAAATCTGTGAGGCTTTGAGGGTCTCACAGTTAAGGCTCAGTCAGGTCATCCTGCCTGGAGAGGAAGGGAGGTGATACATTGCCCCGTCTCCTGTGGATTAACTCTAAGTTCTAACCAGACCCTGATGTCATTCTTTGATTCCTCTTTTAAACTTTCTCTTTCAAAAGTTCCACCTTCTTGAATAGCATTACTTTTTAAAAGGACCCTTTATGTCTTGCTCTGGGTTTCCACTCTGTGCCCAACTCCTTTTGTTTTGTTTCTCTTCTTTTGGTTATTAATAAAGTTTCCTTTATGTGTAATGCCATCAATCCACACTATGAATGTGTGTAACACAAAGACGTTACTGAAGGGACGGTAATTATTCTGAGGTTTAATATAGCCAGGACAAGGCGTGACAAAGCTGTGGGTTCTCTGAGGGCAGGCTCTCTGGCAGAGGATCTTTCAACGGGCTTACGTGGTGCCTTTTGTGTCTCCGTACCTTTGAATAGGCTCTCAGGGAGCTCAGTCTTAGATCTTCACTTCTTATTCTTTATCACAACATCTATTAGAAAACTAGACTCATCTACCTACTGCTCCAGCTCTCCTTAACTAAGCAGAAAAGCACCAAGAAAGGAAGGTCTGCTTCCATTTCTGAAGATTTTCTGAGCTGTCTTTTGGAAGGCTTATCCCCTGAAGTCCAAATGTAATGATATTTGTCCTTTCAACCTTCACCTTCCACCACATGCGCTCAGCTGCGGTTCTTCACTGCTGTGACTGGCGACTAGCTTGGTTGGAAACAGAAAAGTCGGGGATGGAGGGAAAGGAGATATGTTTTGGGTTCTGGTGAGGATGGTGGGTTGGTGAATAGGGGCTGAGGGATATTGACACACTGGAGTACACCTTCCACTCTCCTCTGTCCTGGTCTTTCTTCTGGGCTGATTCTTGAGGGTTCCTTCCACCGTCTGGCTATCACAGCAGAGGACTGGTGTTTTCCCACCCCTCCAGATCCAGGCTTCCCGACTCTTTATTATCCTGTTATCCCTTGTGAGGCAGAATCCACCCCACCTGCTTTCTAGCCTCTCTCCACAGAAGAATTAAGCAATTTGCCTCACCTTAGGAGTCTATTCACCAGAAATTTACCAGAGCAGAGAGACCAAAGGAGCTGAGCTTTGGTGTCTTCAGAAACACACCTGTAAAAAAAGATAACTTTCTGTGCATTTTTAACAGTTGGAAAGGTTCTGGTACCATAAAACCTTGGGAAGTAAGAACTTAAACACAGTTCAATCAGGAAACCATCCAAGGTACTGGCGGATGGCTCCGTGCTTAAGAGCACTGGCTGCTCTTCCAGAGAACCTGAGTTCAGCTCCCAGCACCCACATGGCAGCTAACAACTGACTGTAACTCTAGTTCCAGGGGATCCAATGGCCTCTTCTGGACTCTGCAAGCATTGCACACATGAGATATGTTTACATCTGTGCAGCAAAGACACTCATACACATAAAATAAAAATAAATAAGTCAAAAATATTTTAAAAATAAAACAAACCAAAACACATTTTACATGATTCTATTTATTAATGAAAAACATTTCCTTCCAGTATATCTGTCAACTGTGAAATTCATTTTAAATTTTTGAAAAAGAGTAAATCTCACTTTAAAAAAGAAATACTGGGCAGTTAAAATACCCTGGTTCAAAGTTTTAAAAAATTAGGCAAGATTATATGCTAAGAAGTGAGGAAACAGGATGAAGGGAAATCACCATGACAGTCTGTCACATTAGCCTGGATGCATTTCAAACATCGGCAACTGAACAGCGACAGAAGTCAAAAAACTAAAGCAAAATGATTCCTAGAGACTGGAGGCTATGATAGTGTGGCCAGAAGGGTTCTCTTTCTAATTCAGGAGAAAAATAAATTAAGTATAAATAAGGAGGGGAGATGTTCAGATGCCTGCACAGTGTTTCCTCAGAGGGGAAGGAATGCAGGATGAAGGCCCGTCTTCTCCCACACTTGCTACACAAAGCTCTCCTCCATGTTGCTGCAGAGTAAGAAGGCGTCTACAAGCCGAGGCTGGACCAGCTGCTGGAAGTCAGAGTCCTGGAGGCCTTCTGGGCAGACTCCAGCCAATCGACGCAGTGCAGCCTGAGAAGAAAGTGAAAGAGAAGTCACAGGTCAGACTGGACCCTGCCTGGGCACAGGCTTTTCCTTCAGCTGCCTGGAGAGACGCATTTTCAAGGACTGGTGCATCAACCAGGCAATTGGATCTGATCACCATCTTGCCCCATTTTGGTCACCAGAGCACCTTATCTTCATGGTCACCTGGTTTAACTGCAGTTTGGCAACCATGGCAGAAGTCATCCCAAAGCTCTGAGTGATTTTAATAATGATCTTGCCATCTCAATTTTTTAATTATCCCAAGAAACTGGTCATTTTAAAGATCTGTCATTCTAAGGATCAATCATCTTAGTAATGTATATAAGCTCCAAATGTGTTCTTCCTGGAGCATCACTGAAGTTATTGCTTTCAAGAGCCCTGGCTAAGCTTAGAGAAGCAAGGTCCTCACAGAGCACTGGGAGAGGGAAAAGAAAGAAGAGAGAGAAGAAAAGCATAGAGTCAGGGTGGATAAGGAGAAAGTCCAACGAGGGTGATCAGGAAAGAGCGGCAAGGCAGAAAGGAGCGC